AGTCGATGAGGCACATAGCGCCAAATCAACTATTTGACTCATAGAAAACGAGAACGAGTAGTCTTATTGTTTTAGCATAAACCTACTAGATAATATTATAATATTGAAAACAAAAAATGACACTGAAAACTTTACTGAACAAAACGACGGTCAACCGGCGGCACTGTTTTCATTCATCTTGCCGACTCGACTCGATGTCTAACTGTAACGCGCATATAAGCTTTAACTTGCTCTATTTTTATAGCTTTTTGTCTCTTTTATTACGCTCAAAACTCTCTTTCCAAGATTTTTCCCCTTCTTATCAGGTCTTGGGATTATTTTTCTAATTAATGAGTGATAAACTGAACGGATAAATTTACAAATATTTTGTTGTCAGATCATTCAAAGTCGTGGCACGTTTACAATTCGCTAAGATTCCCATTGTCAGTTAACTTGCGATTTCTTTATTGTTTCGTCTGGCTTTCCGTTTTAAAATTCTTCTAGAATGCATGTGAATAAGTTGTCTTTTGGAATTTTTCTGTTCTTTGAGGAAATCCTTTTTAAATAACATTGTTATCTCAGTAGTCAGTTGTTTTCCAAAACCTCCATTCCTTCCCTTGATTCAGTCTTGTATTTTCTACAATCGATTTTTAAAGATTTTTTAGAGAACAAGCAGAGATTTCAACGAAACTTGAGCATGCATTCGTTTGTTTTTCGCTACTCGCTATCTATCCAGAGATAGTGAGTACATTAGCCAATCAGATTGCAGGATTCGTGATACTATACTAGTAGGTTTTTGCTAATACACATTTAATAGTAGACCCTAATTTCATCGTTTTCTTTTGTGTCTATTTGACTATTACACGTTGACTAGTATTTTTTTATTCCACGGGTTAAATGCCTTCACTCTCTCTGTAAAAGAGAAATTTCTAATTAATACAACATGGTAGAAAAGAGGTTGCTATCAATAGACGACACTTCCGGTAATAGCTGCATTTTCATGCCATAGAAATACTCAAATACCATAGTTTGAAGACTTATTTTGACATGTTTTGACTAGTTGCCCCACAGTCAACTACAAAAGGTCACGTGATTGATCGTAAGCAATCACTAATATTGTTTTATTTTGGAAGATGACGATTAATATTTAGTAAAAATACACAGGTGATTATTGAAAATCTCGCGCACTGATTGCTCGAGAAACTCACGCTATCACACGATAATCACCTCCAGCGATAATCCAAAATGGCGGCCAGCCGCTTTGTTGCTGTTACCGAAAAAAAAAGTCTTTTATCTTCATTTTTTTGTTTTTGTTTTTTTGGAAGAATCACCTATGTATTTATACTAAAACAATTATTTACCTCAGCCTCAGTGAATATCAGACAATATTTACCTCGCCGCTCGAAGACTCGCGTCTCGGTAAATATTCCCCGATAAGGCACTTCGCCTTCGGCGAATAATTGTTAAATATTGGATATATACGTAATATTATGAACTCTTTTTCTTTTTATACGTTCACCATGAATATTAAATGTCATTATATTGTTTTAGTTTAGTTACCGTCTGTCTCAATAAGATGCGACGTCTTAAAGAACCACTGAG